TATTATGGAAAATATGGAAGATCTACGATCTACTGAAGATGTTTTAATGAGATTAATTTCAAAACTAAGGCATTTTCAAGGTGGTATTTATACCACATGAAAATATGCTAGGGTTGTAAGTCTAGCAAGTGTCCAATGTGTAGGGAGAAAGGTGGCTCCACTCATATCTCTCTGTGTACCGTGCTGAGTCATGGCCAGTACCTCACCTGAATATCATCTCCGACACACCCGCCTCGTCTGACTATCACAATAGAAGAGGTGAAGGTGGAACAGTTGCAAATCTGAAATGCAGCTGTAGTGCGTGTTAGCACTGCATTTCCTCAACATGTTACATATCATTTAAAAGTAAGAATTCTTTTTGTCATTAGGCCTTGAAGGTAGCTTTTGACGTTAACTGGGAAACATGACTTTGAATTAGTTTTTTGGTGTTTTGATTTTGTTTTTTCAAAGAATCGCTGCTGTATTTATGTTACAAGCAGTTTGGAATTGCACCTGTCTTTATTCTGTTTGTACAGAGCATAGCATGGTGAGAGCCTGGTGCATGGTAAAGCCTCTATTTCCACAGTAATTAAAATAAATAATAATGTGTTCTGACATCGTTTTTGTTAATAGTCATGTATGTTATTTTGTTCCTTCAGCTTTCTCTGTTAGAAGATGCAGGGTTTGGCGGTGTTCTTCTTTACGTTGATCCTTGTGACTTACCAAAGACTACAGATCTTGCTGATAAAGCTTTCATGGTTTCCTTGAACAGCGGAGGAGATCCATCAACACCCGGTTATGCCAGTATTGGTAAGTACTGTTCAAGCCATATTTAGTTAACGGACACTTTAATTCTTTGTTGATTGTAAGTATGGGATTTAAAACACTAAACCAAATCCCGCCTGAAATAGAAATGCTGAGTACGGGAAGACTGTGTGATGCAGCATAGCTCAAAGGACGGAATCTAATCTCAGAAGTGCTTTACTCTAAACTCTTGGCACAAAGTCTGTACTCTAATTTATTTTGTTGCTTTTTGTGTTTGTGTATTCACACACTGAACCATTATTCCTGCCTGTTTATTCTTATCCCACGAAAAAAAAAGCTGTGAAGTACTAATCCAGTGGTTTCTGAGCAGGTTCCGTGGGATCTGTCCCCACTGAAAGAAGTATTCTTCCCTTCATTCTGTGTTCCACTTTCGTGGTATTGGTAGTGGAAACTTCTGGTCAATAGCTGCAAGTTCAGTGTAATTATAAATTTATATTTGAAAAGATTTAAGAAAAAATAATGTTTATAGTATCTTTGCACAATTACCACTTGAATAGGATGTGTTTATTTAGCCTTGTCTCAGTTCTGCCTGGATAGACTTGGTTATCAATTATGCTTCTCTAAATACCTGCATTTTCAAAGTGTGGGAAATAAAGAATTGATTTTAAGGAATTACATAGTCTTTTAAAAGTTTAAGTTGTTTTTTTTTTTAAAGCAACGTGAACAATAAGTAGAAGCCGCAGCATATTTGACTTGTGTGCACTACTTAAATCGACATTCTGGCAGTTCAGTGAATGTGTGTTCTGCTTTTCTGCCGCCTTTTCAGCTTTACAACCTTTTTTACTATCTAACTATTTGGAAATGTATTAAGCAGCACTCTATGAGTTTGTGATAAGGCTTCATCAAGAATATTTGGTCCGGTTACTAGCTCAGACATCTAAAGTCTGACTTGAATTGGCACTAAATCAACTGAGGCAATGCTGAGATACTTCATGACTAGAATGGCAGAAAATAGAAATATTTGCTTGGTTGTCAAAGAAGGGTGTTAGCTATTCACAGCATGAATGCCTTGACAGCTCAGTGGGAAAGAAATTGCACTTTTTCCTCAGTGTCTTGGTGTACCTGACCCAGTGTTCTTAAAAGTGCCCTGGGAGCTACAGAGGTAAATACAACACTCTTCAAGCTTTATTCTTGCTCATTTCATGGAGCTGTTTGAAAAACAGTTTGTCGCTTATCTGTCTGGCTGACTCCTTAATGTTTTATTTACCCTACATGAAAAGTAAAGCTAATTAAAACAGATACACCAACATGAAGATGCCACTTCAGTGTCTAAACCTTACGCGTTGGTTTTCTGTCAGTAAATGATCTCATCGGTAGTGTGCATTCCAATCTCCAGTTTGAGAAAAAGAAGCTTAATTATATGGAAAATGGTGATATCCTTATAAGTACATTGATGGTTTCTACTAGAATCCTTAGTGTGGCTTGCCTGTGGTTTTAAATCTCTGAGCAACATTCGAAAGCAGGAATAGGCTATCAGGTTGCTAAAATCATTTATATTTTGGTCATTGAATGCAATGATGAGCTGGAAGGAGCTCACAGGAACACTTGAGGAAACTTTTTTACAGTTCTGTCACTGGAAGGTAGATCAGATGGAAGTAATTTCTGTGCTTCTGATGACGATTTTCTTTGGAGACTGTGAATCAATTTGGTAACTTACGTCTGGGACAAATACAAATACGTCTGGAGCGCAGACTTTTGCCTGAGCGATGCACTTTTGCATATAAGGTAGTTGAACCAACTACGTGTGCAATAAAAATGCCAGGTACCCAGGGTTGCCCCTATCACTTTGATTCACAGAGTATAACATGCACTACAAGAGATTTTATTGGAAGCTCCTGCTTAAGTTATTGGCATATCTTTGATATCATCTGCACTGCACGCATTGCCAAAAGAACTGTTACTATTACAGTCTCAGGGACTGCTCTACCACGATTCTCCCTTTTACTAGGAAATTCCTAGTAAGATGAGTGATCCAGAGTTAGTCTTGTACTAGGTGAATAAAAGGTAGGAAACCTGTATTTTCATGCAGCTGCCTATGTTTCTCACATTCTTTTAGTCTGAAAACAAAATTCTCTGTGGCATTGGAGTACTGGACTGCCTCAAGCTTTTTTTTGTAGAAAAAAAATCTTCAGGAAATGATAACATTTACAGATCTCTTCTCAAAGTTGACAACATTTTTAAAATGGGGTTTATGTAACAGTTCAGAGAGCTTTGGCATTCTCATGAGGTTTTAGCTCAAATCTTCTGTTTCATGAAGATTAAACACTGCGCTTCTGCATATGAATTATTTTAGAATGTACAGAAATAGCTTGAGGATGGGTTTGAGATGCCTACTGTCCATGAGTGGAATGATTTTTTTGATCTCTGTTTAATAAAGGGAAAAAAGTAATGATGTGGAAAGGGAAGTCAAGAGCACTTATGTAAAAGTTTCTGCAGCTTTGATAATTTAATTCTTCTGTTCTTAAGACTCTCCCAATCCTATGTCATATCAGTCCTGAAACAATCATATGAGCCTTTTCGAGCATCAGTTCTGTCTTCCTGATTCTGATTGCCAAAGACTAGTATCCTCTGTTTTTAGAAATCTTTCTTTTTTTCTTTAGAAATCTTTCTTTTCTATCTTCCTGCTTTTGAAATGACACAGAGCCAGTGGGTGGGGCTCAAGGAATTAAGCATGAGATTAAGAAGCTTGAGAGGGAGATAAGAGACTTACGTGGCAAAAGTTATTCTGAAAATAAAGTATAGAAGAATAGCAGAAAACTTGAGTGACTTCCCCAATCTTATTTTTTTTTTCCATTTTGCCTTTTTGAATGCTGCCCTTATACCTGCCTTTGTATGGCAGAGGCACATTAGATTTCTCCATTTCAATACTTCAGTACCATTTTAAATCAAATTTGTTTCCACACAGGAAATGGCTCAGTAAACAAAAATATGGATAGAATCTATTTTGTCAATCCTAGTAAGTAAATAGAAAAGTGTCATTGTGATAAGCATGAAGAACCCTGCCCCTGAGATAAGGTACCTCATAATAGGATCCCTCTATGTGCAGTGGTAGGATAGAAATTATTTCATGAAGAATTCAGACCAGTATCATAGAAAATACTGTGAGCTTAAAAATGCTGAAATACAACAGCTGTAAAATACAGTCTTATGCTGTCAGCTGGAGTTTCAAGTGTAATGTTGTTTTAGAGAATTGTTACACAGAGGTTATAACAGTAAGGCAAAGTGGTATATTTGGAAGTAGTCCATGCTTCATTGTTGACCTAGTCATCTGAGCCATAATACAGGGATTTAGGTGAAAAATCAGTAACACAGGGGAAATGTGCAGTGTCCCTAGAATTGTAAATAGTGAACATTATTCAGGCAGAGGAATTGACATGAGCATTCCTCAAACTTTGCTAATAGGATTTGATTTCAGAGGAACGGACAAGGAAGATGAGGAGTCGGTGAGGTGTTGATCCACTGCAGGCCGTAGCTGAGCCGACCAACAAAGTTGGTGGTGCCTCTGAAAATATATTTAAGAAAGGACAAGAATGCAGGACAGGCAGGGGAGTGAAACTGAGCCTGGAAAAAAGCAGGGCAAAGGTGCCGTTTTAATCTCTTTGTGTTTGTTTCTCACTATCCAAATCTGTTTTAATTGACAATAGTTGACTCTGTTTTGCCCATGACGTTAATTGATAAGTGATCTCCCTGTCTTTATCTTGACCAATGAGCTTTTCCATCTTATTCCCCCCCCATCCTGTTGAGCAGGGGCAGTGGGAGCATGGCTAGGTGGGTGTCTGGAACCTGGCCAAGGTTAACCCACCGCACTGTTCTACATATTTTGATAAAATTACAGCAAAAGTTGAAGAACACCAAATATACATCATAAAAAGCCCATGGCATTTACCTCTTTAGTCGTGTCATTCTTTAACTGAGCTTAGCTGGTTCTTCTGCAGTGAACACAGGGAACTCCTGCTACTGCTTGGAATATGGGTAAGTACATACTGTGATCGAAATGATGCCTACTTTACTTTTAGTTGGCCCTGTGATTCTGTATGTTTATGTGCTTCCTGCCTCTTATCTGAGTTTGTCCTTACTGTCCTTGACTTCATGATATTTTACTCCTCTGAAGCAACCAGCTGAGCAGAAGGTAACTAGAAAATAGAATGCTGTGTAACAGTTTTAACCATGCATATGCAACATATGTTCTGAAATGTTTTGTTATAAATCATCATGACGTTTTACAAGATGTCCTCGGCCCTGGTTTGTCTGTTGTTTTAAGGAACAAAACACAGTTACAAGGATAGTTTTTTCTATGCTTGCCTTTGCAGCAGTGGAAATGATCCTGGCAATATTTTTTTTTTCCAAAATTTGTGTTTACTTTCTGCTAATAACATCAGATAAATGAAATGCAAAGATAACTCGATGTAAAATCACAATCCACATTCAGCCTTCTGGGGTTTTTTTGTTTTGTTTTATTTTCCTTAAGGGCAGAGTGAAGCTGGGGAGAAAGAAGAGTTTACAGTGCCATGTTTTAATTTAGGGGTGTGTGTATGTATGTTTACATATACTCTTGATCATTTCATTTTTTATTTATGACATAATTTTAGTGGTTGCCATAAAAAAAACCCACACTTTATCATTACCAACTACACTGCTCTAACTGATATACTGTGTTATTTTCTGTATGAAAAAAATCTGTGCTAATGCAATAGAGAGGTAAATCTTTAGGAAATACTGGCTTTTGAATAGTGAGCACAGTAAGTAATAATTTCAGCAGATTTTCAGTAATACCGCTAGCACTAAGGGTTCAAAAGGTATCTGAATCCATGATCTGCCTCTTCAGATTTCGCAGGATACAATAGAGCAACTACATTTGTACTTAAGTGCCAAATGACATGCTCTGACTTTTTGGGTGTTGTGGTTTTTAGTTTTTCCTCCTGTCTGGCTTTCAATTGGTGTTGCAGGTATTTAAAACTGAGAAAATCAGTCGGACATCGGGATAT